CCCCAAAACCCCAAAACCCCAAAACCCCTAAATTTAGTGTTTAAATTTAATATTTGGAAATGTAAAATAAATTTATAAATTTATTATTGGTGATTATAGAAGCATTTAAATGTGAATCAAAGCTTTTTAGTATCGATTCGCCTTATAGCTACTTTAATTGATATACTCATTCATAGAGAATAGTTCTCATTAGTTGATAGAAACTTAAAAGATCTCATTGCTAGTATTCCTACTATCATAGCCCACATCAAAGTAGTTGGTATTTAAATTCTATGTAAAGTAGTCTTTACTAACTGCTAAGGTTGCACGCTGACCTTCTTGTATTTGTATGTCAAACTTATTTTCATCCATGCTATTATTTCCATTTTCATAGATAGATGTAGGTCTTAATACTTAAGGTTTAAAATTATTTCTTATGGTATTCTTTAATCTCACGAGAAACCTATCAGTAATCTATGGTGCATGACCAGCTTCTTATGAAAAGGCAAATCCACGATCTATGAGTATTTAAGACGATAAATAAATTACGTTATAGCCTTGTAACTCTTCTTTTTTAGATAGCATTATCTTTTTGTATCAAATATTCGAGTCTTCTTTTCTTTTTTAACTCTTCAGCCTCAACCATGAGTTTAATTTCATATTGAACTAAATGTAAACCATTATCAACTAAGATACAAGCACCACCCACAAAGAATAGAGCAACATAGCAGAGCGTATTAGTAAAAACGATACCAAAGATTTTATAAATTTCTGGGAAGGCTTCGAAAGAGCTCAGAATAAAAAAGAATAAGACAAATGCCCCAATACTACCAATACCAAGAAATAAAGATATTCCATCGTATGTATATGCTGATGATAGAATCTTAATATTTACAAGCAGAACTACTCCCATATAAACAAACTACCCATCAACCATTAGCTCACTAGTTCTTCCATTTTCATGATTGATAGTCTCCATGGAATAAATGCAAAAAAATGCTACTAAAGCTCCTTGCCAGGCACCATAAAATATCCACCTCCAGAATACCCACTTGCTAAAGCATTAATCTATACTTAATAAACTAAATTAATAACTTACTAGTTAATCCAAGTTTATAATGTTTTGGATTCTTTAAGAATTCATGTTTAGTAAATTCGTAGTCGAACAATGCGTAGTACATAATTGGATTACTTGTAAAAAACAGATTAAACATTTGATAGAGATATGGATCATAGAATGAAACTCCAGAATAAACTGAGTATGTTCCATACCAGAATAAAGGAAAAACGAAAAGAATGTTTTTGTAAAACATGTAACTAATCAAGTAACTATTTCTCCTATAAGCTTCTCTTCCATGGTAAAATAGTAGCGTCTTTAAGAATTTGAATTATCCAATTGCATAATCACTTGATCTTGCAGCTTATTATCCTTCTAATCCACTAATACCGATGCCTACATGGGCAGCTGTAATCATATTAACATCATTTGCCCCATCTCCTATAGCCAAAGTTGTTAGCTCCTTATGCTTGTACCTAACCATTGTTACAACTTCTGCTTTTTATTTTGGTGATACCCTACAAGCAATGACAACCTTAGCAGCTAAGGTTAGCTCTAGGAATTCATCTCTCACCCTGGAATTCTTACAAATTTTAATCAATGAATCTCCTGACACAATAATTGCACTATCTCTTATAATTTCAGTAAGCTTTTGATCTCTTCTATGCTGAGTTATTTAAAGCATTATATCTTTTGTTCTTCTTTCATCTACAACAAAAATCTCCATTTCTTGATTTAAAAGTGAGCAAGAAAAGCCAATATTGATTGCAGTTTCAATTTTATCTCCAGTAAGTACCCATATTTTAATTCCTGTATCCATTATGAATTTTATGGTATCTGCAACATCATCTTATAGTTTATCCTCTATAGCTGTGGAACCGATCAGATTGAAGTCATACTCCATTAATTCAGCTGCTTTATTAATAGCTTCCTCTCTATTATATGGTGAGACTAATGCTTCATCATATTTTTCTTTCCAACTAAAATATTCTTCCTCAGATATTTCTTTACATGCTAGCAGTAATGTTCTCAAACCTTCTTTAGCATAACTATCTAAGAATCTTGTAGTTTTATCAATTAATACTGGATTGCTATTTAATCTTGGAATGATGATTGAATCTGCTCCTTTACATAAAACTTTGATTCTATCATCTTAAGTTTTTACAATTACTGTCATTCTCTTTCTTGTTGATGTAAATTCTATCAAGTTTAGCAGTTTGTATTTGAGTATTTATCCTCTTTAATCAATTACAATATTATCTTCCTCATCTCTACCTTAGAATTAATATCCTAAGTATTTAGCAGCATTGACCAGGGCAAGTTCATCAGGAGATGAAGCATTGTAAGTTGGAACTCCATCTTTTTATTCAACAATAATTGTATGGCAAACTGACAATATTTCTAAAAACGAATTCAGATAGTTGAAATTCTGTGAAAAATCCTATTCTAGAGTTGGATCCTCGAAGTTAACATTTGTAATTCCTTCTTTTTTAAGCTTATCTTGGTCAAGTTTAGGGTTTCTTATTCCGTAAGATTTCAATCCAGCTGAGAATCTTTTGAACTCCATAATGTTTTATGTAAGAGTTCCTGTCTTATCTGAGAAGATATAATGAACAGTTCCAAGTTCCTCGTTTAGGTTTGATGTTTAAACTTTAGTATTAAGATCCTTAGTTTCATCATAGATAGATACATCCCATTAGATGAAACTTGCTTAAATAAATTTCACGCACTCCAATGCTACCATCAAAGAAATAGGAACTAAGTTTACAAAACTTAGAAACCAAGTTCCAAATTGAATAACCATGTTAAGCATCAAAGAAATAGGTTCCTTGTCGTCATGTCTTATATAACTAAAATTTTCTTTGAAGACAATTTCCCAAACTGAATTTGCTACAGCCCCAATAGCACTCATAACGACTTACATCAGTACTATTATCAAGATGTACTTATTAGTAGACCTCTCTAACTTAGAGAATTTAGCTCTTGATTTCACTGAGTTACGCATAATTTTTGTATCATGTCCTGTAAAAATAACAATACCATAGATGAATTCAGTATTTCTCAAGCTACTTCCTCTTAGTAGCATTTACTCGACACTGAGCGGTATGTGCTAATTGGAATTGAATAATACCCCTTCAAATTTGTACAGCATTTCATTAGGATTCTCGCACTCAACTCTTACTTTTTGCATATTAAAAATTGCTTCGCTATCAGTCTATGCAATTTCAACTGTTTCTTTGTTAGCTTATTTATGTTTTAGATTAGTTTCTCCATCTAGGTTTTTAGTCTCTATATAGCATATACCTTTTGGGGCAGAACTATTGATAAGAGCAAGATCTGCTGGGAAGTATTCATTTTATTGAATTTTGAGTACCTAGCCAACATGAATATCTCTCCATAATTTCTCCTCAAATTCGCCAGTTACTGGATTAGCTACCATAGTTTTTCTATTATTTTCAATGTTGTCGCTATGATGACGTTTAAGATCTTCAAAAATATCCTTGATCATTGAGACAAAAACTACAAAAGATAATGGCATAAGCATAATGGGTGCTCCTCCAGAATCAGAGATTGCTGGTATTAACTATACAAAGTATTAAGATTGCATTAGTTACTTCAAGTAGTGCCATTAGTAAGAAATAAACATTTGACATTTTACTGAACTAATAGAACAGATTCTTTGGCACAAAAGTAATGACAGTGTATTTTGACGTCGATATCCTATTATCGATAAATGGCTTTATTTTATCTCTTTTCTTGTTATAAATCTTATACATTTCAAATCACCTCGGCTCAATAGAACTGAGTTCCATTAGTTCAGATTCTGTTCTATCTTTTGAGCCAGTCTCTGAGTACTATAACAAGATTACAGTTTTTGAATAGAAACAAAATTAACTTACTCTGATTGCTTAGGAGGATCTATCGTACGAAGACATCATTGATCCATCTCTTGACTTATCCATCTTTGACATATCTTATTTACAATTGTCATTATATGAGACATAAAAATACCTTCTGATTCATCGAGAAGAGGATGAGAAGGCTCATATTAAGCATCGAATTCGAGTACACTTTGACTGAGTGTCTATTCTATTTTGCTATTACTCTTCATTAAGGATAATATTTTAATGTATAATTTAATTTCGACACTTAATATATTTAGCAAATATTATAAAATCTTAATAATTATATTATAACCTCCTTGGGGTTTTGGGGTTTTGGGGTTTTGGGGTTTTGGGG